CTGAATCTAATTGGAGGTCCTCTGAAAATAATCCGGCATTTCTCTTGTGCACATTTTAGAATCTTATGTTTTACTGTGGAAAGCTTGACTACAAAGTGTTGTGATGAAGATCTTCTCTGGGCATGTATGTTAGAAGTCCTATGTGTTTCCTCTACTTGGATATCCTTTTGTTTCTCCAAATTGGGGCAGTTTTCTGTAATTAGTTCACTAAATAGGCCTTGTAGTCCATTTCCTCTTTCCATGCCTTCAAGAACTCTTAAGACTTGTATATTGTCTCATTTGATAGTAACCCATAAATCTCCAACATTGTTTTTAAGTTTTCTATTTTCTTCTTCTTCTTCTTCTTTTTTTTTTTTTTTTTTTTTGGTCTGATTCTAGTATTTCCAAAGATTTGTCTTCTAGTTTTGATATTCTTTCTTCTGCCTTGCCAAGTCTGCTGTTAAGGCTTTCCATCACATTTTTTATTTGATCTATTGAATTCTCCATTTCAATATTTCATTTGGATTTCTCTTTAAAGCTTCAATTTCAGGGGAAACATTTCCACTCATGTCATGTATGGTTTTCTTTAGTGTGTGGATTTGCTTTTAATTGCTTTTGAGTAATCCTATTATTAAATTTTTGAATTCTATTTCTGGCATTTTCTCCATCTCTTCATCTTCACATTCTAATATTGAAATTTCATTGTGTTCCTTTGTGGAAGGGTTCATGGTGTCTTCCTTATTCTTTTTTTTTTTAAGATTTATTTATTCATTTGATATGAGTAATTGTGGTCAGAGGGTGGACTATGGTTGATTATAAAAATAGCTGTATTTCACCCCTCTCTATATCACTGTCCTTTGTGAATTTGCAGTTTTCTCCATTAAATGCTGGAATCTATTTCCCCACCCCTTGAATTAGGCTGGATTTGTTTCCTGCCCATGACAACTTGAATGTGCTAGAAATAATATTGTGCAAGTTCCATTGTCTAGGCCTTACTTTTGCTCACTTTCTTAGGCCCTGTCACCATGACAAAAAGCCTAGTCTAGTCTCCTGGATGATAAGAGATACTTAGCCTTGTCAACCCTGTTGCCTTAGTTAATAGTCAGTCCCCAGATATGCAATTGAAGCTATCATAGAGGAGCCATCCCCCAGCCATTAGTCTAGAGGAATACAGACATCAATCAACATCAGCTGAGGCTGGCTCAAATTAGCATATCAGCCCAGGTAACTAGCAGACTCAAGAGCAACATAAATGCTATTATTATAGGCCAGTAGGTTAATTTGCTGTACCATGTTATTTCAATAGATGATATATATGATACATATATAGATAATTATTTCTATATATATTCCCTCCTCTTCATATTAAATATATATACACATACATATATATAAATATATATATATACATACACACACATATGTAGTACAGAAATATGTCTAACTGGGTTCCCTTGCACATTTTCCCCTCCTTCAGTTTCTTCTCCATAGTGCTATAAAACTAACCTTGAGTTTTCCTACTTAAAATTCTTAAGTGGCTCCCTAATTCTTTCAGGGTAAATGTTATGGTTAGTCTCATACAATGCCAGTTTTATGCAATTATTAATCTACTTTATTTTTCTATAGATAAGCTATTCTGGACCTCTCCTACAATATATGGCTAGCTTCTCTCACTTAGTGTACTTTCAAGGTTCATCCATGTGTTAGCATGTATCAGTACTTCATTTCTTATATTACTGAATGATATTACATTGCATAATTTCATCACATTTATCAATTTGTTAGTTTATGGAAATTTAGATTGTTTTCACTTTTTGGTTACTTTGAATAATGATACTATGAACATTTGTGAACAGCTTGCTGTGTAGATAAGCTTTCATTTCTCTTGAATATACAGGTAGGAGTGGAACTGATGGATCACGTGGTAAACCCATGTTTAGCATCTTGAAAAACTGTTTTGTAAAGCGGGTATGCCATTCTTTCTAGCAACACATGAGGATTCCTACTTCTCCACATCATTGTCAACATTTGTTGTTGTTTTTTTTTTTTTAAACTATAACCCTCTTAGCAAATATGATGTAGTATCTCTTGTGATTTTTTTAAAAGATTTCATTTTTTTATGAAAGGTAGTTACAAAGAAGGAATGACAATTGGAGAGAGAGATAGAGATGGAGGCAGAGAGAGAAAGAGAATCTCCCATCCTTTGCCCATAAAGATTCAAAAGGGTACAGAAACAGACTAAAGAAAACACACTTTTTTCCCCACAATGAGGGATTTGTACAACCCTACAAGAGATACTTGGAGAGAGAGTCACAGCTCAAATCAGTTGAGTTGTATATCATTTATTGGAAGTCACTGACACTGCACTTCCTTTTCCCAAATGGCTGCAAGGCTAAGGTTGGGCCAGGAGAAAGCCAGGAGCCTGGAACTGGATACTGATCTTCCACATGGGTGGCAGGGGTCTAAACACTGCCTTCTTAGGTTCATAATCAGGGAGCTGGAAAGGAAGTGGAGCAGCAGGAACTAGAATCAGCATTCAAATGGGATGCTGGCATCATAGGCAGCAGCTTAACCTGCTGTGTCAAAACACCAGCCTCCTCTTTTGATTCTAATTTGTATTTCCTTAGTGGCTAATCATGATGATCATCATCTCATGAGCTTATTGTACATTTGTATGTCTTTTTTTTTTCTATTCAGATCCTTTGTTCATTAAAAAAATTGGGTTGTCTTTTTATAAAATGGTAATAATCCTTTATACTTTTTTATAAGTCCATTATCAGATACGTGATTTTCAAATATTTTCTCTCATCCTGTGAACTGTCATTTCACTTTTTACTGGTATCCTTTGAAACATCAAAAGTTTTTTATTTAGGTGAAGGATTATTACCATTAATTTTACAACTGACTGATAGTGAACGGTGACTGCCTTTTTGAAATATGACTTGTCCAACTGAGTATTTTTATTGAGAAAATAAATATGGTCCACCAGTCTTTCCTACCCCCTATTGTAATATATATAATAAATTATACTTTTAGTGATACACATAAAGCCTCTGTAGATTCTGGAGCTTTTGTCTTTTAATGCTGTTCTTCCAAATGTAAATTAGCCTTTCTATGATTCCTTCTAATTTTGCAAAATATTCTATTATATTGAACAGCATAACAATATTTCTCATCACCTTACAGGACTATCAGAAAAGAGGGGGAAACTTAGACCACCAGTTACAGTAACTTTATACATGTAAGACCTCTTGCTAGGATGGAAAGTCCAGCTCTGAAAGAGAATAAAATTGGATGGGGTGGGGGGTGTGGAAGGTGAAGTGCTGGGTCATCGTGTCCAGGGTTATTAGAAAAGCGGTACTTCACAAAATTGTTCTCCTGTAAGGAAGAGGGGCTAGACAAAGAAAACAGATGTCACCATGATATCAAGAGATCTATAAAAAGGAAGTACAGTGTCAGTGACTTCCAATGAATGATATAAACACCTTAACTGATTTGAGCTGTGACTCTCTTTCCAAGTGTCTTTTGTAGGGTTGTACAAATCCCTCATTGGGGGGAGAAAAGTGTGCTTTCTTTAGTCTATTTCTGTACCCTTTTGAATCTTTATGGGCATTTCTGAAAGACTTCAATTTCCTTAGAGATATTGAGAAAACTTTGTATTTAGTATTTGCTATAGTTTTCTTTGTATTACACAAGAGCTTGCATTCCTTTCAACAGAGATAGATTTTACTTAAAAGTCAACCTAAAAAACCAGACTACAAAAATCAAAAACTGCATTTGCAATATATGCATGTGTCTGGATTTTTAGGTTATGTATCAGGAATCCTCTAAAGAGGGAAAGTAACATGTATGCAATTTGCAAAACAGAATGAAGGCTGGCTGCTTAACTATGGTTATATAATCAAATTCTATTTTTTTAAAAGATTTATTTATTTATTTGAAAGTCAGAGTTAGAGAGAGACAGAGAAAGAGATCTTCCATCCACTGCTTTGCTCCCCATTGGCCACAACAGTCAGGACTGGACCAGGCCCAAGCTAGGAACCAGAAGCTTCTTCCAGGTCTCCCATGTGGGTGCAGGGCCCCAAGCACTTGGGCCATCCTCCACTGTTTCCCAGGCACATCCGCAGGGAGCTGGATAGGAAGTGAAGCAGCCAGGACTCCAAGCAGCACCCATGTGGGATGCTGGCATTGCAGGCAGTGGTTAACTCACCATGCCACAATGCCAGCCCCAAACTACATTTCTTTGTAATTACTAATACTGCTTAGTAACTGTAATTGAATAATTCTTGGTTACTTACAATACTATGATGTCAAATGGAATCCAATTATTTAGAGAACATTAGCACATTACATCTTATCTCTGTGAAACCAGTAACTGTATATGTAAGAAAATTATATTTTATCATTTGCTCATTTGTGTTCCTGTGTGGAGCAAAGAAAATGGCATGTTTGCTTAAACACACACACATGCATAAACAGAATAGCTGTATATAAAATGTTTACTTAGTGTAATTTTTGTAATCCTCGATAATTTCCAGACACTCTTCCAGTCCCTTGCCTCACATAATATTTAAAATACTAGATTCCCCCCTTCCCTGTCTCCAGGATACATTCTGACACATCTTCCTACAGAACCGGCTGACTGCAAGAATAAGGTGTGAGACAGAAAGACTGGACTGCTCAAAGTGGCTCTTGAAAACCCTAAAATAACAAACGCCCCTGGCTGCAACCACCCCTCGCAGAACATGCGTCAACTAATGAGGCCGAGTTCCCTTTCGGTCGCAGGCCCTGAGCCCCGCTGCCTGCTACCAGGCTGAGAGGGAGGAGAGTCCCCGTCTAACCACAAATTCCTCCCGGAGTAGGACGCTTCTGTAGCTGCCCCGTTCTCCTCAGGAAACTCAGGGCAGGAGAACAGAGTCCCCTCAACCAAGGAATGCAGCCTTCCCACCGCCTTCTCTTCAGGGTAGAATCATTCTTACATCTTGGGGACTTTTTTAAGACTCGGAATAAATAAACCTCACCTGAAAGGTGAATCTCTCGGAACAAGGAGCAGTGTCTACTCAAAACTACACAGCTGCCGACTACTGGGCAGCAACCGTCCCGTCGCCCCCGCCGGTGCGCATGCGCTACAACCGCCGCCAGTTCGCGCTGGAAGTCATGCTCTCCACCGTTTCTTCTTCCTCTGCTCTTCCCCGGCTTTTCCCCAGACTTCCGTTCGAACTTCCCGGTCGCAGTAGAACCCACCAATCACAAACGTCCTCCCCCGGGCCACGCCCCCCCATCGCCCTCTCCGGGAACCCGAGCCCAGTTTCGCGCACCGCCCTCCCTTGACGCACGCTGCGCGCGGACGTCGGCCTCTGACGCCGCCGTCGCCCCCGCGCCGGCTCCCGCCCGGGCCGCTCCCGCCGACCGTTGGCCGGGCCGCCGAAGTCCCTCCCTCAGGACCCCCGCCTCCGGACCGCTCTGGCGGCGGCGACCCATGTGGGGGTTACGACTCCTGCGGTCGCCGCCGCTGCTGCTCTTGCTGCCGCAGCTCGGGATCGGAGACGCCTCGTCCTGCTCTCAGGCCGGAACCATGAACTCGGGCGGCAGCGGCGGCGGCGGCGGCGGCGCGCGATGCTCCCCGGCCGCCGAGGGGCGCCGCCGGCAGTGCCTGCAGCTGTCCACGGTGCCAGGAGCGGAGCCGCAGCGCAGCAATGAGCTGCTCCTGCTGGCGCCTGCGGGGGAGGGACGGGAGCGGCGGGGCCTCCCAGGGGACCCGGCGAAGGAGGAGCCGCAGCCGCCGCCCCAGCATCACGTCCTCTACTTCCCCGGGGATGTGCAGGTAACCCGAGGCCTGCCTGGGCACCTGTTCCCTCCACTTGTGCGTGTGCGCTTCCATTAGGTCTTTCCCTTGTGGTTGCTGCCGGTCCCTTGCTTCGCCTGGACATAGCTACCCGTGCAGCTCACGGCGGTGGCCCTGTCGGTTCCTCCACCAGATCCCAAGCCCTGACCCCTTCCCCATAGAACCCCGAGAGGAAGGTGTCCGGGCACGGCTTGGGGCCAGCTGTCCAGGCTTCCGGGGGCTGGGGTTTGAGACAGGGAATGAGGCATACAATGCGTACTCGTTCCGTAGCTTGGTCTTTTAAGTGAACTGCGTGTGTGTGTTTTGGACTGGGGATAGAGAAATGGCTTTTAAATTAACTTAGCATGTAGCGTCCAGAAAATGCTGATCGTGATTAAAAAGCAAAGTCAACAAAAAAACCCATTGCAAAGGTATGCTATTCTGTAACCCTAAAAAAAAAATGGAGGTGGGACAAAAGGGGCAGTTATTACTAAACTTGTCAATATTTTGATGCTCACCCAAATTCTGTACCTTTGTTTTTGTGTGTGATTTTCTTTATTATCAATTTAATAGCTGCAGGCATATTTCCATGGTAGTGGTTGTCCCGGAAGCTGGTTCTTAATCTAAGACTGCATTGTCTGATACAGTAACCATTAACCATATGTGACTATCTAAATGAATTAAAACTAAATAAAACTAAAAGCCTGGTTTCTCAGTCATACTAGCTTCGTTTTAAGTGCTCAGTAGCTGCAAATGGCTGTGCGTACTGTATTGGACAGCACTTAGAACATTTCAGTCGTCACAGGAAGTTCAGTTAGCACTAAAGCTAAAACTGGAACGTAGCTAGGTGTGTTTCTTACCCATGAAACGATATTCGTTTACTGTTTTTGAAGTTGATGCTTTAAAATGATAAATTCACAGGGTCAAATAATATAAATATATTGTGTTTTTTCTTGTACTTAAAGTAACTGGCCTAGTTGCCTGCTAATAAAAACTATGAAAAAAAAATAGTGCTTAGGTTGAAGGAAGAAACTTAATTACTTCATTGGTACCCTTGTGCTCACCTTAGGAAAACAGCGTGTAGAATTTCTGACCATAACTTTGGGGAATTTATGGATCGACTATGACAGGCATGTCTGTAATAATGTAATAACGATTATGATAGTAATGACAACTTTTTTCCTTTTTTTTTTTTTTTTTTTGAGAGATAGAGAAAGATACCAGGCTCTCCCGTCTTCTGAGTCACTCCCCTAAATGCCTACAATAGTTAGGACTGGGACTGGGCACGAGCCAAGAGCCAGGAACTCTATCCAGGTCTCCCACTTGGGTGGCAGGGAACAAACTACTTGAGCCATCACTTGGGGCCTCCTAGAGTCTGCATCAGCAGCAGATGGAAGGATGCTGGAACCAAGAGCCCGAGCAGGGAATCTAACACATGAACTCTGATGTGAGGTACAGACAGCATACCCATTTGGCCAATGCCTGCTGCTGGTAACATTTGTTGAGCAGCAGCTAAGTGTTTTTAAAGTCAGCCAGATACAAGTCTCTGGATGAAGTCGATAATGTTCTACCTATTTTTTGAGTCCAGGATGAGCATTCCTTAGAATGAGCATTCCAGAGCATTTATTGAGCATCTGAAACCAAAATGCTATAAACCCAGAACTTTTTGAGGGCCAATGTAACACCACAGTGGAAAATTCTACATCATGAAACTTTGTTTCATATACAAAATTATTAACAATGTTTTATCAAAATGATTCTCATTCTGTGTATATAAAATATATATGAAATATAAATGAATTATATTTTAGACTTGGGTCACATCTCTAAGATAGCTCATTATGTGTATGCAAATATTCCAAACTCCAAAACACATTAGTCCCAAGCATTTTGGATAAGGGATACTTAGCCTGTATTACCTCCTTTTGATCCTAGATCATCTAATGCTTTAAGGAGCTCTTGAATTTATTACATTTTGGGACAGTGATATGCTGTTGATTTATGCAGAATATGAAGTACTTTTTTATTTTTATTTTTTTGACAGAGTTAGACAGTGAGAGAGAGACAGGGAGAAAGGTCTTCCTTCCGTTGGTTCACCCCCCAAATGGCTGCTAAGGCCGGCGCTGCGCACGATCCGAAGCCAGGAGCCAGGTGCTTCCTCCTGGTCTCCCATGGGAGTGCAGGGCCCAAGCACTTGGGCCATCCTCCAGTGCCTTCCCGGGCCACAGCAGAGAGCTGGACTGGAAGAGGAGCAACCGGGACAGAACTGGCACCCCAGCCAGGACTAGAACCCAATGTGCCAGTGCCGCAGGCAGAGGATTAGCCTAGTGAGCCGTGGCACCGCCCAATGAAGTACTCTTAAAAACCCTAGGTCTTTTAGAGAAGAAATAGAACAAAATACATCAGGAGGCTTTGAGGCCAGATTGCTTAAGTTTGAACCCTGATTCTGTACTTTTAGCTATGAAATCTCTGGCCAGTTGTTATATTTCTCTTTATTGCAGCTACCTCAACTATAAAATGGGAGTAATAGCTTATTTAGAGTATCAATGGGAATTAAATATGTGAATACTCAAAAGGTTCGGATTCCGTCTTGTCTTTCTAGTGACTTTTTCAATTACTGGCTTCCCCTAGCATTACATTCTTGAACTTTTTCCTCTACCTTCACTCTGTGATCTGTTTCAATCTCTTGACTTTGCTTACTACCCCATATCCTGACAGCCCTTAACATTTGTTTATCTATCCTAAGTGTATTCCCAAACTTCACATGCACCAGTTATATGCACAGTTATTTCCTTTAGAATATTTAGTAGATCTAAAATCCTCTGGATTGTTATCCCTATGCAGTTTTCCTTCTGTCAGTTCATGGAAACTGCCTTTTCAGTTGCTCAAGTCAAGTCATACCTTTGGCCACTCCTTCACACTTCACAGCTAATCCATCAAAAACTCCACTGGCTTCAGTGAATCTAAAATGATCAGAATAATTATTTAAAAGTATAAATCAAATCATGCCATACCACATGTAAAACTCCAGTAGCTTCCTGTGTCACTCAGAGTCAGAGCCAGAGTCCTTAAGAGGGCCTGAAAGGCATTCGCCATCTACATTTGCCACATCCTGTTACCTCTCTGACTTTGTCTCCTTTTTTCTGTTGTACTCTGGTCCAGCCTCACTGGCCATCTTGGTGTTGCTCAAATAAGTCAGGCACACTTGACTTCAGAAGATTTGCAGATACAAGGCAGGCTTTTGGTGTAGGTGTAAGGCACCAGTTGGGATGCATATAGTGTCCCATATTGAAGTGCCTGGGTTCAAGTCCTAACTGTATTCCTAATTCCAGCTGCCTGCTAATGTTCACCCTGGGAGGCAGTAGGTGATGGTTGTGCAAGTAGTTTAGTCCCTGCCATCCACGTGGGAAACTCAAGTTGAGTTCTCAGCTCCTGGCTTCAGCCTGGCCTCACACCAGCTATTGTGGAATGAACTAGCAAATGAGAGATCTCTGTCTCTCTGCCTTTCAAATAAAATGATTTAAAAAAAAGTTTTAAAACAGATTTGCACATACTACCCAAACAGCCTTCCTGTAGATATTTGTAGTTTTATTATCTTACTTCTCTCAGGTCTGCACAAGAGTCTCCCTTAATAATCACATGCATACACAGGCTCCCTGTCAACTTTTTTCCTTTATTTTTAACCATATCATTTACTATATTAGTTATGCTTCATTCTTGGCTTTGTTTTCTGCCACTAAAATGTCGGAATGTAAGCTCCTGTCTGTTCATGCACTGATACATCTGAAGCTTCATGATTGGCACATAGTAAGTGTTCATGCTAATTGTTGCATGAATGCATATACAAAGGTAATTCAAGGGTCCATAGGAAAATGTAGAAGACTCATATATGCATGGATTTCAATGCTTCTAATTCCATTTTCCCTGAACATTTTGAACTGCCCTCTTACATAGTTGAACAGTGTGTGAAGTACTTAATATGTGTTGACTGGCATTATATAAAATGCTAGTCAGATTTCCTTATAAGTATTTTTGCACCTGATTCTTTAGAACCTAATACTTACCCTTATGAAAGTTTATCTATTATATGCCACCTGTTTATCTACTATGTTGATTTTTTGGGAATGGTTATTTCTACCATGTAGATTAAGTAAATTTTTTTAATATTTGTATTTTCTATTTGAATGAATATTGGACAGATGAGGGCCAAACAGAACTTTGAAAGAACATTAGCAGGGGCCGGCACCCGTGGCTCACTTGGTTAATCCTCTGCCTGTGGCACCGGCATTCCATATGGGCGCCGGGTTCTAGTCCGAGCTGCTCCTCTTCCACTCCAGCTCTCTGCTGTGGCCCAGGAGGGCAGTGGAGGATGTCCCAAGTGCTTGGGCTCC